AAGCACAAGGACCTGAGTTAGATCCCCGGTACCAAAAAAAATTTTTAAAAACAAAAATAAAAGTACCAAACAAGTGGGTGAGGCTAGGGGTCTGGGAAAGTAAACAGAAGAGTCAAACTAAATTTGAAATCTCTGAAATAATCACCCATTTTGAGTTTTTTTGTTGCTGCGGTTGTTTGGTTTGGTTTCTTGAGACAGTCTTGCTATGTAGTCTATGCTGGCCTTGAACTCCCTGTGTATCCAAGACTGCTCTTGAACTTGCAAGTCTTCTTTCCTCAGCCTGCAAAATGCTGGGATTACAGGTGTGTGCCACTACATCTGGCTGAGTTGGATTCTTCTATTCATAAAATACCAAAGGGAACAAAGGACTTCAGTTCAACTTTCATGTTTTGCAGCTGGTGATCTACAAAGTTCTTCAGGTTGTAAATGGAAACATATGATCTGCCCTTCTTACCTGGCTTCTGCCTTTTTGGCCCAAATACCTAAAAGGACAAGAATGATGCTTGGATTGCAGTAGGATTGCAGGCCTATTCTGCAGTGGTACTAGGATTAATTTATTCTCTCTCCCCCACCCCTTTATGTTGCCTGTGTACAAAAGGATTTAGGATATGCTATTCTGTTTCTAGATGGCTGTTTGCTGGGACAGTGAGTCTTGCTTCGTAAAACTTGTCCAGGTAATACAAGTTTGGATAAGCTGGACCTTCCAAACTCTTATATAGGTCCTTTTTTCCTTTCTAAGCATTATTGAAGTGTTTAGTGCTCTAACACCCCTAAATTCTAGGCCTAGTGAACCTAACTTAGAGAACTGTCTCCTAAGGACAATTAGTCCTTCTCCCAAACCAGTAATAATAATTCTTCACATTTATATAATATTTTTTTAGCATGCAAAGAACTTTCACACATATTCTGAGCTTCAGGTATCAGACACTGTGTTAGAAAAAAATTAGAACACATATCATGCTATTTTTAGATTAGCAAACCAGGGATGTTAAATCATTTGCCTAAGAAGTGCAGAACCCTGCCTTAGCTCTGTCTTCCAATTCCTTTTTTAAAAAATTCATTCATTAATTTTATTGGTACATTTTAGGTATACAATATGCTGATGTTCATTATTAGGAATTTATAGCTTTATATGATGTCTTGGTTCCTATGTTTTTGCCATTCCCCTGCCCTCCCTTCAACCCCCAACCCCTCCTTATTTACAAAAACTTCGTTTCTATTTTTTCCTTTTCTCATATTTATTCCTTTCCCCTCTATCCTTTCTCCTACCCCTCCAACTTCCCTTCCCTTTGGACCTTTTCTTCCTATTTCACACTATCTATTACACATTTTTATCCTAATTTACACTTTCAGTTTCTCACACCAAAGAAACTATTCTGTATTTACACAAATGTATTCCATTTATTTCACTTAAGAGTATGGCCTCAAGAGGCATCCATTTAGCTATAAATGTCTCTAGTTTTTCATTCTTTATAGCTTAGTAGTACTCCATTTTAAAAAAACACACACATCTTATTTATCCAATCTCCAGTTAATGGGTAGCTGGGCTGTTTCCAAGTTTTAGCTAGCACAAACTGTGCTGCTATAAACATGGAAGCATATATATCATGTGGTGTTATTCTTTTAATTCTTTGGGGAAGATACCCAGCAGGGGAATAGCTGGGGCAAAGGGGACCTCTAATTCTAGTCTTTTTAGGTATTTCTGTACTGATTTCCATAGTGGTTGCACCAGTCTACACTCTTACCAACGGTGGAAAAGGATTCCTTTTTCCTTACAGCGCCACCAGCATTTGTTATTGGTTGATTTCTTGATAGCAGCCATTCTTTCTGGGGTGAGATGGAATCTCAGTGTTGTTTTCATTTGCATCTCTCAAATGACCAGTGATGTGGAACATTTTTTATATGTTTATTTGCTATTTCTACTTATTTGTCTGAAAAATGTGTGTTCCTTTCAGATCCTATTTTTGGATTTGGTCTTTAAATTTGGGAGGTCTGCTTTTTTTAAAAGTTCTTTATATATTCTAGATAATAGACCTTTGTCTGAGGAACAGATGGTAAATTTTTTTCCCACATTGTGGGTTGTCTCTTCACACTGTTGGTAGTTTCTCTTGCTGTGCAGAAGCTTTTTAATAAGAAGAGATCCCACTTTTTGATTATTAGTGCTAGTTCATGTGCTACTGAGATTTTGTTCATGAAATCTTTTCCTATGCTGATGCTGCAAGAGTTCTACCTAGCCTCTCTTCCAGCCAGTTTAGTGTTTCTGTTTTAATATTTAAATCTTTCACCCATTTCAATTTGTTTAGTGTACAGGGAGAGATATAGGTCTAGTTTTAATCTTTGGCAAGTTGAAACCTAATTTTTCCAGCACCATTTATTAAAGAGGCTATCTTTCCTCCAGTGAGGGTGTTTGGCTCCTTTGTTGAAGTAGCTGAGTGTGTCTGGAGCTGTTTCTGTGTCTTCTAATTTGTTCCACTGGTCCTCAGGTCTGTTTCTTTGCTAATAACATGCTGTTTTTATTACAGTAACTTTGTAATATATTTTCAAGTTAGAGATTGTGATACCCCTGTTGCCTAGAATTGCTTTTGCTATTCTAGGTCTCTTCTTGCTCCAAATGAATTTTTGGATTGTATTCTCTAGTTCTGTGAAATATACTGTTGGGATTTCAATTGGCATTGCATTGAATCTATGGAGCAGTTTTGGAGTTATGGCCATTTTCACTGTATTGATTCCTCCTACCCAAGAACAAGAGATGTCTTTCCATTTTCTTTTTAACTTTTTTTTTTTTTTTGGTACTGGGGATCAAACTCAAGACCTTACACTTGTGAGGCAGGTGGTGGCAGGTGGTTGAGCTAAATCCCAGGTCCTTCTTTCCATTTTCTGATATTCCCTTTGATCTCTTTTTTTAGAGTGCTATAATTTTAAGTGTAGAGGTCTTTGATTTCTTTTGTTAGGTTGATTCTTTCTTTTAGAATTAAGTGTATTTCTTACATGCAGCATATTGTTGGATCTTGCTTCTTGACCCATTCTGTCAGTCTATTTCTTTTGAAAAGTTAACAGTCTTCCTTCCTGAGCTTCCCAAGTGGTGGGATTACAGGCTGGCACTACTACACCTGGCTGCACTGTTATTAGGTCTCTTTGGTTCTTTATGTCACCGGTGAAAGAACATATAACTGAGGATTCATCACTCCCTCCAAATATGAAGTCCTCCTGGAATGAAACCATGCCTCATTCTGATTTTAGAGCTTAGGATCAAAATATCCCTGCATTAGGAATAAACACAAATATAAAATATTTTATTAATCAATACACTTAAGTCAGGAGAACACTAGCATTGCTCTCATCTTTTAGCTCATTTTCAACCAGCAAAAGTAGGCACTGTTTGAAGAAAAACATTGCCTTGTGGCAGCCTCTACATTTGCCCTAGTTTTTCTAGTCTATTCAAATAGCATGGTCACTGACTTTGTGACCATGGTGGCCTTCATGCTTGTGAAGAGGTGAAAGAACCAAAATTAATTTTGTATGTTAAAAAAAAAATCTACCAATTTTGGCCTGGGAGCATGGGGATAAAAAAGATGACTTAACAGAAAGAAAAATCTCAAGGTCAGGTTTCATACTCAGAAAAGAGTGGGATAAATCAGACCCCAAGGAGAGGTATACTTGTTATGGAGTAAAGAGTGAGATTTGGTCCTCAGGGTCACCTAGGAGCTGTACAGGAAGGGCAGAAGTTGGTAGGAGCAAGAAAGAAGGGCATAGAATAATGTTACCTGTCCTCAGGAGTATAAAAGTCTAGCACACGAATGGTAGAAGTAGAGCTTGAGGGCCGGGGATGTAGCTCAGTGGCACTGCGCCTGCCTCTCAAGTGCAAGGTCCTGAGTTCAATCCCAGTGCCAGAAGAAAAAAGGAAAAAAAAAAAAAAAAAAAGAAGTGGATCTTGAGCCAGGGGCAGAGTGGCACAGAGGCTGAGCTATGGAATTCTAGTACTATAGATCTTATTCCCCTATTTACGGGCCAGGTGATCTGAAGTAATTTACTTATCTCTCTGAGACTCAGCTTCTTCCCAGATCATAATATCTTGAGCAAAGTACAGTATTCTAATTACCAGTTATTACCACTAGGCCAAGAGAGTGCTTCAGAAAGAAACAACAAAATGAAACACTAAATCTAAGCACCAGTTCCCTACAGTTTTATCTGTTAGCTAACAACCTGGAAACAGCCTGCTCAATAATTATGGAGGAGTCTACTTGATAAAATATACTATAGCTTGAACATTTTAACAAGGTTATGTAGCAGTCCAAAAAAGTATTGGGTGTTTTGAAGGACAGAAGAGACAGGAGACACGGTCACTGGGCAATACAGTTAGCCAAAACTTAACACTGGGATGTCACAGAATTAACAACTAAAATAAGTGGTATGGACCAGGAGTGATTTATAAATTATTCAGATATGCCATGGCAGCCTGAAGGAGCCATGGGAGAGGCAAGTAGGAACAGAGAGTTAGGCCTAAAACAATGGATAGAATTTTTGCGTCAAGTATGGCAGAAAAGCAATTTCACAAAGAGGGCACAAGAGGAAGCTCCACTGGGTGGGGAGAGGGAAACTCAGAACAGCGAGGAATCTGGCTAGCTCAAGCTGAGGTCACATGCCAGGACAAAGTCATAAGGTGAGGTCTTGCTCACTGAAAACCCTGAGTGCCAAGCTGAGTTGTTTGTGTTTTATACTATAAGCCTTTGAAGAGAGAAAAAGCGGCACCTAAAGAAAAATTGGAAAAGTGGGGCACTGTTGAAAAGCCGTAATCGCTCACAAGGGCCTGATACAAGAAATATGTAAAAAGTTGTACCATATCTTTGTTGTTGTTGTTGTTGTTGTTCTGATTCAAATGGCTCCCTCCCACCACACTTCTCTTCTTATTTGTCTTCCAAGCTATTCTCGTTCTGTACTGCTATGGGCTTCCAAATTCTGCTCACCTCAATTCTCACCAGCTCCTCCTATCGCCTTAACAGGTGCCTGGTCACAGCGGCAGGCCCTGCCTCTGGACCAGGTAGTGTGGAAGAAAGCATTTCTGAGAAAAAAATATGGCCACATCCCAAAAGGGAAAGATCTTTCTTGCCCATCCTCAGCAACTCAACCCACGACTGGGATGGGGTATGACTTTCTGCTTCTCAAAACCAAAGGACAAGGAGGACTGTGCTTCCATTTCCGGTGTGCCTCCCATCTTTCACTTCCGCCCTCAGCACTGTACACACCTCAAGAGCCAGTATCTGAAAAAGGCCGCTGCAAACCTGTCCTTCTCTGCAGAGGTAGCGTGGCAGCGAGGGCTACCCAGCGTGCCTTACAGCCAGTACAGCTTTGACCACCTCTACAACACAGATGACATCATCCAGCCTCCCCACATCAGGAAGGCCCAACCTGAGAAATCTGTTAGTTCCAGGCTCCTACATCCCTCAGAACCCTTGGCAGGAGACACCTCCCAGGCTGGGAAGACGGAAAGTTCTCCCTATTGTGAAAAGAAGCGGAAAAAACCAAAGCCAGGATGCATAGTCCAGGAAACATCCCACTCTCTCACGCCTTCACCCAGTAAGGATCCAGATATGCTAGATCTGCCACCTTCTCCAGAGGTGGAAAGGGATGTCTGGCTTCCACTTCCTGAGAAGGAAGCCAGAGCCTGGGAGGCCATTGTGCTGGAAAAGCTGAATAAGCGCACAGCCCGATGGATCCAGAACAAGCACCCCACAAGGCCTGGAGCATCACCCAACAAGTGGCAGAGCTTCTTGCGCCAGCAGTACGACTGGAGCCACATCCGAGATGAGCTCACCTCAGCCAGCGATCTGGAGCTCCTGAGACAGCTGGAAGCAGAAGAGGCAGCAGAGTTTGAGGGTCAAAGTATCATCCTGCTCCCCGACGAAGAAAAGAAGCCAGAGCTGCTGCTTCCTGTTTACTACAGGTAGGCTGGCCAGGCTTCAGGTACATCTTTGGCTTCTCTTCAAGAACTCACAAATGTTCTTACACACTTTATTCTGTTTTATCTTATTTGTTCATTTTTTGCTGTTCTGGGGATTGAACCTAGGGTCTTCAACATGCTAGACTAGTGCTGTACCACTGAACTGCACCCCAGGGCATACCTCCTATTTTGGAATGCACTCTCCCATCAACCACATGTTTACCATGTGTCTGAGAGCTCCCCAAATTAAGGTTTATTGGCCACTGCAGTACTGACAAGCTGGTTTAGACGGCTTTTTGTTATAAGGTTCTCCCTGTGCATTGTAGGACGTTACTATCAGCTGTGGTCTCTACCCCCTAGATGCTAATAGTTGTGACAACAAAAGATGTCTCAGATACCATCCTGCCAAATGTCTTTGAGGGACAAAATTGCCCCCAGTTGAGGACCATTACCTTGAAGGGATCAATTCTTGGCCTTTAGCTGAGTTAGCTATTAGACTGCTGATCCAGTTACCATCCAAGCATCCCAGATAAATACCCATCATGGGAGTATGGAAGGCAGATACTTCATGGGACCAAAGTATGGTCCTTACTTCAAACAAGGAGCCAGTGTGTCACTGGACTCAAACTGCAACCAGCTATAGGACAGAACCAAGCAAAACTTGGAGAATAAAGTGATTCCCTATTTCTCAGATTTCTTCCCTCTTGTTTATAACTAAAGTGAAGGCTGGAGCTATTATAATAGCCCTGATTTTCAAAAAGAAATTAAAAATAAGTGGAAATATGTATTCACTTACTAAGAAAATATAAATTGTATTTTTGCTACTTTCAGGTAATCTGCCAGGTGCTGGGGACGACAGTGTAAAAGGGCTGATTTGCAACTTTCAGGGGCTTATAGCCCGTCCACTGGGTGGGCCTACATGAAATAACTACTCTACACTAGAGTGAGGTAAAGTAGGAGGCAGGTTCCCTTCCCCAAGTCTGGGCAAACTCTAAGGGAGCAGTTTCTAAAAAGGCTTGTGCTATGGGCTGGAGATAGCTCAGTGATGTCACTTTTCCAGCACGCATACAGCTTTGGGTTTGATCCCCTGCACCAGGCACGTACATATGAACACACATGTGCACGCACACACGAAGGGTTGTGTTGGGAGTACGGCTGCCCTGGCATGCTGCCTTGTCCTGTTGTTTTGGCTGTCAAAGGCACGGTTTCATTGTGGAGGGGCTAGGTATTTGAAGACAGGCCCATCTGGTGGCTCCATATTCAACTGACACTTGCAGAAAGGTTAATAAGCACTGGTGTTCTTCAGATGCTCACACCTGTAGGAGCTGAGCTGAAGTGAGCTGTGCTCCCAATGGAAAGTGGGGCACCTCCTACCTTTCCTCCTTTCCCCTCTCTGCTTCTGCCAAGATTACCCAGTTATTCCCCACAAGCACAGACAGTTGAAAGCGTGCCCAGCAAGAATACGACAGCCGAGGACATCAAGGAAAAGAAAGGCATCTTCCAGCACCCAAAGCAGAGCTATTTCCGGCAGGTGAATCCTCGAGCTGGGAGGTTTGCTTACTCCACAGACAACACCTTTGAACAGGAGATTTACTTTGGTAATAGCACTGGGTCCCTGTGGTGGGAACGCAGGCGGGCATGGACCAGGGAGATGTAGGAAGCTGGGGAGGAAGACAGTCACGGTGGGGAATGAGAAACCCTGGTACTCCTGGCTTTCATGATACATCACATGGGTACCAGCACAGGGCTTGGGGAGGGTAGTGATTTCTGGTGGAAAAGAAACAGTTCTCTGTTTGCTCTTCTCCATCTTACTAAGGAGGGAGTGTAAGTGGGATTGTAAGGTCAGCAAGATTTGACAGTGGGAGCAACCTACCTCTTCTCTGTCCACTCTTTCCCTTCCCTCACTTTGAGATAGCCCCCAGTAGGATGCTGTGTTGGAAAAAATATCACAGGCTTTGGAATCGGGCAGATTTAGAGTTACATCCTGGCTCAACTCCTTATTACACTTCAGGACATTTTCCTCTGAGCCTTAGAAACCTCATTTATAAAACAACGTTAACAAAAAAATGTACTTTAAGAAGAGTAGGCAAGGAAGCAGCTGTTAACGCACGCTATGCAGAGCCTGGCACACAGAGATGCTCAGCAGATTCCCATGACTTCCCCCTTCTACTTTGCTGTTGCCTAGATGGCTGGGCTTCCAGGGTACACCATCTAAGTGAGTGTGTTCTAACCTGTTTCTTCTTCCCAACCCTCATCTTGTTCCTACACTGCTGTCAACTGGGTCTTCTTAAAGAGTTTAACAAAACTATTCTAAAATAAAATAAAAATACCGATGAGGTCAATTGCCATTTCTTTACTACTAGTATCATAGAGGACAGTGCTTAGAAGTTAAATAGCTTCTGCCTTCATACAGAAAATGCCATCCTTGGCTCCAATACCTCTATGAAGCTTCTCTACGAGGTCACAACCGTGACATTTCTGAGCAAGAATCACATTCAAGGGTTGCTTCACAACATGGTAATCTTCAGTTTTAGGAGCTTAGATTAGTGCAAAAGCAAGTTGATTCCTGATGAGTGTAAACCCAGGAAGAGAGGAAAGGGGGGAAAAAGAAAAAGAGAGAAGAGTGCAGGGCTGGGGGAGTCACTGTTTCTCTGTTCACAGATGGAGTCCAGATCGTCCACCACATCGGTGGGAAGAGAGACCACATTTTTCTGGAAAACCGTAATCAGTATGATAAGCAGTTATGTAAGATCTTCCCTGAAACTCCAGAAAAGTGGAGTTTCCAGCCTGTTCCTAAAGCATGTAAGCAGGAAACTGATGGGGGTGAGGGGTAGTACAAATGTGACTATTTTTTTTAAGATTCCTAGTTCATGGACTAGGGGCACCCCCAGAAGTGAGAGAATTCCCTACCAACTAAAAAGTACCTTGCAAAATTATAAAATGCTAGTACTAGGAAGAGCCTCGGAAAGGTTATTGCCCTCCTTGCTGAAAGGAAGGAGTGATTAAAATCTAGAAATCTAAAGGTATTAAAGAGTTGGAATGAAATTTTGAAAGAAAGAGAAGTGACTGACGATAACAGAATGGAACATGAGGCTAATAGGCAAGGTGGAAGACAATGAATTTAGTAAGTTTGGAAATGTTTTTATGTGTCTTCCCTTCCTGTCCTCCACACAATTTCTCTCCTAATAAAGAGGCTATTGAACACTATGAAGAACAAAACATAATCATTACCATTTTCATGTAACAACTATGCATAACTATATTTATAAATGTATATGGTTTCTTCTGTTCTCAAAGCTATTTATTTATTTATTTATTCTGTTTTGAGATAGGTCTTCCTATGTAGCCCAGGCTAGCCTCAAACTGTTGGCGATCCTCCTACCTCAGCCTCCTAAATGCTGGGATTATAGGCATGCACCACCATGCCAAGCATTCTCAAATTTCAGGCTGTTGTTTATCACAAATAAAAAATTCAGAAATATTAAAATCTTTAAAACTTAACAGCTCATAGTACTATTCCTTCCCTCAAATAAAAGATTAAAGAAAAAATTAATAATGAATTAATGGTCAATTATACTGTAAATTGCAACATATCAAATATTGAATTTTTTTCAAGGTTTTTTTCTTACTTCGCACCTTGCTCAGGCTGGCCTTGAATGTGATCCTCATGCCTTAGCCTCTTTAGTAGTTGGGATTACAGGAGCACACCACTGTACCTGCATTTCAAATACTGAATTGTTTAAGCAAATCTTGTTACATATAAACATATTTGTGTTTCTAAGTACTTACTACACTTATAAAAAGGGCTGTATATATCTCTAC